TATATATATATATATATATATATATGATTGTATAAAAATATTAAGATATGATTAATTGTGACATGAGATTATTAAAATATGTGATAGTAATTAGTTTTATCTCACAAGTGAGTAATAATATCATGAGATTATTAAAATATCTAATAGTAGTTAACTTTATCTTATGAATGACACATGATAAGTAATTTGATATTATACAACAAATTTATTAAAAGAGTTATGAATATTATTATGATTACATATCTAACTATTTTATTATGCAATAAATTTGATATTTGTTGTGTAACAAATCAAATAAATTGTAATTTAATATTTATTTTATTATTTAGGTACATTAATTTATGTAAATTATTTAAATATTAAAAAAATATTGAAAGAACAACTCAAAATCAATATATATTTTATTTTTTTCTTTTATTTATTTATTTATTATTATGTAGGTTAGTCTATCAACTTGTTCTTGAACATGACAAATCAAGATGTCTAATCCTTTTTTATTTTATAAACCTTAAACTCTAAATCTGAATCCTAAATTTTAAATCCGAAATCTAATTCAAATTATTTTTGTGAGACAACGATGAATCGAGCTTAAAAGTGTTGAAGTTAGCTGTACTGCCATACCTAATTTTACATTTCGAACCTAGAGCAGGATTTTAGGGAAATTTTGTCCCCTAATTTGAATCTTGTTGATATATGATTGATAGCAAAAGGTAATGTAGAATAAATGACTAAAGAAAAAAGATTAAATGAATAGGATCGGAGCTGTGAAGAGTTGTATGAAAAGTCTTGTTGGAGGTAAACGATAATGTACTTGTTTGCTCACATGACATGACATGATACAAAAACTCCGTGTTTAGGCGGTAGCTCCATCCATTAATTGCATAATAAAGACATAAGCAACGTGTATAGATGAGAATTAATATTGCTTTGTGCGGCAAAGAGGAAAAAATAGGAGCAGTAAATTTTGGCTAGGTTCCCGAATATTGGTCCAATGCTTGATGTTTTTGATCCTATATATAGTACTGTAGTATACATAATTGGTGATTTAATTTTGGTGACAGCAAAGCAAAGCGGTTGTTGGCACAAGACATTACTTACAAATTAAGGTAGCTAACTGGCTAGGTCGATCCGTTCCGCTACGAAGATTTGGCATTGGAAACAATGCCTTCGTTACCGGCCAACATCAAGTACTTGTCTTTCCTCGTGAGTTTAGTGCACTCAAAACCCAAAGCCTGCCCAATTTGTGTTTGGACAGCGTTAGCCACCTCAAACCTGGTGTTCTCTTGGTGGGTTGGCGAAGGGTAGAAACGGTCCAGCAACCGGACCGTGTAAACCGGGGAGGGGTTCATGAGAAAGAAAAGCGGGTCCAAGCACTTAAACCCCCCCGCAGTGGTTCCGTGGAACATGGTGACGTGGCTGTCCACCGCAACGGGTGCAATTTCGTCGCACATTTCTGAGAACAAAGGGCTGAACCTCAATAAATAGGGTTCTCTGCACGTGGTCCCCTCTGGGCACACCACCAAGTCCCCTTGCCCCAATAACTCCTTCATCATTTTCGCGTCCTCCTCGCGCTTTCTCGTTAACCGCACCGTTTTGATTGGGGCCAGAATCTCTGACATCCTGCTTAGGCTGTATGTCACCGCGGTTAACTTCTTTTGCAGCGAGTATGAGATGTAGAGCGGGTCCAGCAAGGTTCTGTGGTTGCACACGTACAGAATCCCCTCACCGCTATCCTTAACACGCTGCTCTTGCTCCCACCGTGCGCCTCTAGGTGTGCCTGCAGATACCGTCAGACGCAACCCACTCATTATCAGTAACGGGGTTGAGATTTTAAACGGAAGTGAGAGCGCAAGCGCAATCCTAATAACAGCCAGGATTATCCCGTACGGAACCCACATCAACATTGCTATGGACTCCAATGGTGTCAGCCGTAGAGCTAATCTCCCATCGTGAAAGATAACCGCTTTCGGGTATCTCTCCCTTGCTAGCTTTTCCCACCTTCTCTTTTCTGCTCCTGTCACCACGTACACTTCCTATTTATTGTTCACACACACAAATAACGTAACGTTAGTTTCCGTGTGATACTTTCACATAAAATAAAAAAAAAAGTTGGACAAATTTAATATTATTTTATGTATTATGTGAACAATAGTGCTTTTCATCAAAAAAGGTGAACAGTGACACAGGGTGTGGTCAATAAATAAGAATTAAGAATATTGAAACTCAATAAAGAAGATTAAATTTACGACAAACCTTGCATTGAGAGAAGATTTGATGGTCGCGAATGTTATGGAATCTTGTGATTCCGATCATATCATCAGAACATCCTTTCCCTTCTTTAACTTGCTCCAAGGCATGCATGGTTTTTGTGTCATCCATCAACCCCACGTAGTATCCGTTCAACATTTTTAGCTCCCTTCCCACAACGAAGTCAATCTCCAAATACTCTCTCAAGAAGCTTTCCACCATCACTTGAGGTAGATTGGTGACACCAACTTTCTTCCCTCCTCTGTTCAGCACCTCGAAAATCTCTGCACCAACGTCCTCCAAGAAGAATTTTGGCAGAACGGACCTTCCGACTCTGAAGTTGGATGCTTTGATACCAAAGAAGCATGCCATGACCATTATCTTCAACCCCATATCCTCTCCTGCTACACAAACAAAAGGGTATAGCAGAACCAGAACTATGGCCCTTAGGAGCCCCCCTGCCTCGAAGGCCACAAGCATGAAGTAAGGGAACAAAGAAGAGGATTTCAACAACGTGTTTTCCACGTCAAAGATCAACGTGTGATCATGGAGGTCTGATCGGTGAAGGAGAGAGGGGAATTTCTGGTATTTATTCTGTGTTGCTTTTGAAAAAGAATTGCTTATGGTTCGGTGGAAGCGGATTAGGTTCCTGAGTTGCCTCAAGAGAAAACGGTACCAAAAGAAGAAAAGAGACTTGAAGAAAAACGCTCTGAACAATTTGGCCATCTCAATGTAAGACTCAACTCGGTTTTTAGATACTGAATGCTACCGTTTTAAGGAGGGGAAGCCCTCTTATTTATAGAACTAGAGATACGTTAACGCCCATATTTTGTCACTATAATTACACGAGTAGCATGCCAGCTTTCACATGGATTAATTGCCAACTACTATTTCTTTATATTGTTTTTTGTTGACCAAATTCCAAAGTATTCATGTGGGACTTTGTCAGTGTCTTCCCTTCATCAGGTAAAAACTACACAAAAGGTTAAACTCTCGTTGACTTGAATCGGTATCACCGTAGCATAGAAAGATATTTCATGCATGTGCTGTAACAATAAATACCTTTGTCGGCATAGCTCTCTGATCTCAAGTGGCTTTGGAGAAATGACCGAGTTCCAAAGGGAAATTAAAGATGATGAATATATGGCTGCAATTGGAAGAAAGTGGTTAGCTAAAGTCACGTAACGGTATTCATCGCTGAACGCAACGTCTTGACCAATGCATCGCGTTAGCCAAGTTAACGCATAGTAGTACTTCTTGGCTAACGCATAGTACTAGTAGTACTTCTTATTTTATTTTATTTTTTGACAGAACAACATAGTATTACACTATATTCCGTACATTCTACTTTTTTCTGATGACAGAACAACATTGTACTTTCTTAAGAAGGAAGTTCAAGAACAATACAGTGCATTCTTAAGCTTTCGTCTTTCTTTTTAATCATATACCCCCATGTTATAGGTAATTTTTCAACTTACTCGAAGAAAAGAATCCAACTGTTATTTATCAAAGAATTCGAAGAAAAGATATCCAGAAACTTGGAAGAATAAGTTAATTTTCTAAAAAAAATTGTCATCAGGTGACGTATATCCTACATCCATATACAATATTTATTACTAAAATTTAATTTTTATTTAAATTATAAACATAATATATGTTAATATATTA